GCACCAAAGGTCAGCGGCGCGCCGTCAGCGGCGTCGCCAGCCAGCAGCCGGTGCGTCAGTCGTCGCGAAGAAGAGCATAGGGCGGGCAGGACGGGCGAGATGGCGGTAAACACCGGTTGGAGCGGAGCGCAGTCACGACGCGCGGCCGCGGCGCGCTTCCCATCCGGAGCGGCGCCCGCGACAACAGCAGTCGTCGCGTCGTCGGCGAGGTGCGCGCGCGTCCGGCCCGCCCTTGGCCCCGGGCCCGCCCGCGCGGCACACACCCGCCCGCCTTCACCCGCGGCCCGGCCCGGCCCGGCCCGTTCCGTCGGAGGAGGAATTAATGCGCGTCTGCCCTTTGGCAAGACAACGCGCGCCGCGGAGCCGAACACCACCGGCCGAACGCGGGGGGAATCCTTCGGGTGGGTATCGCCGTGGTGACGCAACGCTGCGCCACGCCCCGGCGCGGCACGACGACGCGACACGCGGGTCGGGGCGGTCCCCGGGGACCTCTGACCCCCCGGACGAGCGCCGCCCGCCTGTCCTCCGGCAGCGCAGGGAAGAGTGTCGCCGGCACCCTCCGATCCCATCTCCTCCAGTGAACCCCCGCGCGCCCGCGGCGGTTTTGCTCAACACGCCAAGTCACCAAGTCTTTCTAGCGCTATCCTGTCCAGACGCTTAAACGGGGCACTTTCGTGTCACAAAAAAATACCTGCTGTTATTTTTAATTTTAAACATGAAACTTTATTCTAGGTCTACGCCGCATTTAGAAAAATTATTAGCAACCATCGTATCGCTTGTACTGGGTTGAGCAGGCAACATTCATACAGGGTGCTTTTACTGTACCGGATGCAGGCGTGTGGCCGGATTGCATACTCGCACGGGGCCATAGGGCGCAACGGCGAGCAAGGGTGGGCATTGGGCAAGCCCGCACGCACGCCCTTTGCATGCGGTACAGTATAAGCAAAATAAAGGAAGGGGTCTGTGGACCACCCTGTATAGTTGTGAGGACGGAAAATGTGGTTTTGCCCAATTGGCGGACTTGGCGGTTGTTGAAACTACAATTTTTTGATGGTTGTTCCTGCGCTCACCACACAGTGGCTGCTACAGCTTTTAATTTTTTTTCTGGCGTGCACCCAGAAAACGATATTCTTGATTTTAGAGTAACATACTAATGTTTAGTATGTTGACAGTGTATAATACGAACCAAGTATGTCATTCTAATCTTCAGTGTGTAAATACCCTAATTGGAGATAAAAGTATGTAACATACTGAAGTATAGTATGTTTGATTAGTATGTTGACATACTAATCTTTAGTGTGTTAGTACCCTAATCTAAGAAAACAAGAATACCGACTCGGCCAGGGTCATCAGATACTTAAAGAAAACGATTATATATTGGATTCCGTGTATGTTCTTTACCGAAGTAAAGCGAAATGGATCAGCAACCCACTTCATCACCAATTCAAAAATGATGCAGCGCGTAGAACACACTACAATCATAAATGGAAAACGTTGCCGCACCCAACTAAGGAGCGTTGGCGGGGACCCTGCGCGCGTTGATACTAAACCAATTATTTCTGGCGCATGGTTGACTGTTTCAACAAAAACTTGCATGTTACCCAATGGTCATTGTCTTATAGAGCATACAACGTAAAATTAATTTTAGTTTCATGTCATAATTTTAGTCTAATGCAAAATATAGTGTTTGTAAGAGACGCTCTGACCG